CAACTAGAAGGATGTGCAGCTATAACATACAACTATCTACTGGGGCTTTGGGGGGGGGAAAAATAAATAAAATTAAAAAAAAAAATAAAAAAATAAAAGGAGAAAGAGAGAGAGAAACCCTGACTTGTACCATTTGCCAATTTCTGTGGCATAAATACTTTCACCATAGCCAATTTCAAGCTACCAATATGCTGTCACTGGATGGGGAAATGAGAAGGGATGTGCACAATTGGCCAGTGCCACCTAGCTCCAGCGTCCTCCACTACCTTTGAGCTCTTAAAACAGAAGCAGCCAGGAGCAGGTTAGCAGGTCAGGAAACGAGGCACCCCCAGCTGAGCCAAAGCCCTTGTGCACATGGCCAGCAAGGGGGAAGATGGCTCTCTAGGAACCTGCTCACCCCAGAGGGGAGATGTTAGGACCTGAGGGTCCCCACTACCTACAGCGGCCTCTTGGTGCTCAAAATCTCCACTTGGACCTTCCAGACCAAAGGATTAGCCTCTAAGAGTGAGGGCAAGAAAAGGGACATGGGGAGAGAGGCAAAAATTATTTAAAAATCTAAGTCTTGATTTATTTACTAAAAGTATCCGTTCAAACTGTTGAGAGTGAATCTTGGAGTGAGGCCACTAGACATAATCCAGTTAAAGTATCAATAACGTCTTTTCTCTTAATGAGAAGCTGTTGCCTTTTTCTAAAAAGCAAAACCTGGAGACAGGAATACATATTCTTTCTTTCTACAGATGATTTCAGTCAACAGGGACCACGCAAAATCATGATCACTAGTCTCCTGCTAACAAGACCCAGTCACACTGGGTTTTTCATACGAAATAAGGAAAATTTTCTCTCCTTTCCTCCTCATCCACCATCTCACTTTCTTCCTCAAAATTTGCTGAAGAATTTGTTTTATAGAAGAGTCAGGACAGTTGACGTATTTCCAAACAAAATACAACAAACTCAAATCCCCCATTAATAGCAGATTTAGATATGAATACTAGGCAGGCTATAGTTGTTTTTCTCCCCAAGGTCTCCAGTCCTGCAGCGAGGTTTAACGGGCTCTGGCATACTATGGCACTGACACAGATTCTTCCTGGGCTGGAGGGTGGTGAGACACCCCGCAGGTACATGGAAAATGACCTTCTCCTCAAAAGGTTCCTCCAATGAGGGGGAGGAGAAGCAAGGGGAGAGAGAGCCCCTAGGCTAACCTGTCAGTACACTTTAAGATTGAAGATATTGCTAGTCAATGGAAACGGGACAGCTAGTTAACATCCCATCAGTCCTGTGGTTCTGTGACTTTGATTTACATCTCTTCCGCAGGGACCTTTCCTTTTGTTTTTCAAGACAGAAGACCTGACACAAGCTCTTCAAAACCCCTCCTAAAAGAGCTATTTTATAAAATACTTTGGAGACAACTTAGACTGTGTTTATGTTTTATAAAAATGAAGAGACATGAGATCAGGAGAAATAAACAAGGAAGCAAAAAGCAAAAACAGGGGCTGGCCCGGTGGCATAGTGGTTGAGTTCGCGCGCTCCACTTTGGCGGCCCAGGGCACACAGGTTCAGATCCTGGGAGTGGACCTACACACCACTCATCAAGCCATGCTGTGGCAGCATTCCACATACAAAATAGAGGAAGGTGGGCAGGGACGTTAGCTCAGGGCCAATCTTCCTCATGCAAAAAAAAAGCAAAAACAGAATTGACAAGCTACATGTTTCCTCAAGATTAGACTCAAGCTATGTATTTTTAATGGAAATACCACAAAAGCAATGGTGTGTGGCCTCCTCATTGCATCATATCAGGAGGTGCATGCTGCTGGTGTGTCTCATTATTGGTGATAAATTTGATCACTCAGTTAAGCTCTGACAAGTTTATCCACTCAAGTTACTACTTGTCCCTGTGAGATTAGTAAATAATTTGTGGAGTAGTACTTTCAGACTAAGTAAACATCCTGTTTCTCATTAAACTTTCACCAACTAGCTTTAATTCCATTGATGTTTTGCTAATTCCATCTTTTTTTCTATTATTACTTGGTTTTTACTGTAAGAAATAGCCCCCCCCCCCACTTATTTATATCAGTATGGACACCCAGATTTTTGCTTTATTCAATGGGTTATAACCCACTACTATTATTTACTTTGATGCTCAGATTGTCCCAGATCTGGCCAGTGGGAACCTCTTCAAGCTGGCTCCTGTGTAATTTGATAAGCCTCCCTCCTTCTTTGAGCATTTCCTTACCTTCTTAAAGAGCAAGAAGTGCTGGGCTCATCTTGTACTTCTCTACCCCAGCACAGGAATCAGTCTTTTCTCCAAGGAGCTCTGTGTAGTGTGTATTTTTAGAACTAGTCTTCGATAATGGTTGCAAATAATCTGTATTTCCCATTTCTGCTTGGTAATTTAGTCTCATGAATTTGGTTAGCCCAAAGGGATTCCCTTGCATTTAGTCACCCTCAGTGAAGCTGCCCAACTGAGGGGCAGACTCTGGATTGTGGTGCTTTAGTGTAATCAGATGGGGATGCCCAGCCTGAAGCAGCTCTGGATTTCCAGTGCAACACATGGCTCTTCCCTCTAAGGTACCATCATAGAGCCATGGATTCAGTGAGGAGTGCACGTTAGAACTATCCCCAGGAGGACTTAATCCAAAAAACTAACAGCTCATCCCAGGTTTCAGAAATTTTAAGGTGACTTACCTGTCAGGACAACTGCTCCTGGCAATTCAAGTTCTGAAGAGTAAGGAAAAGTCCTCCTACCTAACCATTTGAGAACTCGCAATCTCCAAAGACTACAGACCATCAGAAAACTCCATTGATGAGGCAAATCTGGCACACTGACTTCATTCAGAGCTTGTTTGCGGATGTTAAAACAGTCCAGTGAACTCCAAGGACCACTCTTAGAAATGCATGAAGAGTCTTGATGCTTCTGGAATACTACACATTTTCCAATTCCTTTCTAATTGCTATTCTATAAGGTTTTAAATGGGGCTGTGTCTTTTCCAATTTACATATATTTGGGAAACATTTTGCAAAATATTTCACCCTAAAACATTAAGGAAAACGATGATAGAAACAAACTTGTAAAAATACATCTTTTAATAAACATCAAGAAATACAGTGCACTTTTATCGAGGTTTTACATTGCAGTTTACAGCAAACATATTATCTATTATAGTGTATATTTACAAGTAAACTCAGGGTTTTTTTTCTCCCATGGCTGGATAAACCATATCTGGTGCGTCATACCACATTTAGGCTTGTTTTCCAAGCTGGCTCTATAAAGGGCCCTTAACATTAACAGCTCATAACAACAAAAAAAGATATCCCCCATCACAATGAGCCTGATGAGCACTCAGAAAGTTACTAAAAAGATATGTAAATACTTGGTTTCCTTTGATGCTTTTGAAGAATAGCTACTGAGAGCAAATATGAAATATTAAAGACAATAATGGAAACAGCTGTTTCTCTTGTCTAGTGAATCCATAATAAATACTAATTTGAGGCTACAAATTATGAAAAAAACCCAAAAGATTCTGGTAGGAAAAGCTTAACATTTGTATTTATGATCTCATGGACTAAAAACTGTCTGGTATATTAATGGCTGAGTCTACTTTTCTTCAACATTTTTTATATAAAGAACAAGGCGATGGTGGAATTCTTGACACTTCTGGACAAATTTAGTGAGAGAGGGAAATGAAATTAATTGACAAAGGGGGAAATTAACATTAATCTGAAATTTCTACCTGCCACTGTTTTGGAATGATCAGGATTCAGCTACATCCAAGAAGAGTTAAAAAGAATGGAACTGAAGGAAATTAGAAGCTATAACTAAAAAACCATAGTCTTGCATGCTTTCTACTCATGGCATTTAAAAATTACATAACTGGATTTATTTGCTATATATATAAACTAGTGTTAGAATTATTAAAAAAAAGTACCACTTATATCCACAGAAGTATCAGAATCATACTCAGATCTGTAAAGAGGCATAATAATCTGTTTATCATGCAACTAGCTGTTTGTGAAATTTACACTGGTTAATAGAACAAAATCCTTATGAACATAGTAGTAATGTGTAGCAACTGACAACAATTAAGTAAGCAGCTCAAATTCATAAGGGTAAAGACCCAATATCCCTGAATTTCTAAGCATTCATATCATTGTTAACACAGTTTCATCTAAATGCTACCCCATTAGAAGAGAGATTTTAAATACTCCTCCCTCTTCAACACATCATACTTTCAGAGGTGAAAAGGGAACAATTCAATTTCTCTACCACTTTCACCCATTCTCATGAATCTGATATAGTGTTATTACAGTGTCTAGGCTAACACAGGTGCTCTAAAGGATCCAATGAATTGAATTTCTAGGTGCCCGAATATCACTGGTATTGTATAATAAGCCTGTCTGCCAGAAGGCAGTATCTCTGGCTGAAATATATTCCTGGATCAATGATTGAGAAGTTAAGACTAGCTGCCAATGAAGTCAGACGGTTCCCTAATTGTCAGATAACAGTTTGACTTTCTCTATAAATTAAAATTTCTTAGTGGATGGGACCAGATCTCATATTTTGCACATATCCTCTATAGCACCTACTAAAGTGTTGGGCAAAGACACATGCTCAAGGAAATAATCAGTGATGGGGGCAGGAACTGAATCAAGGGTGAATGTGGTCATGGGGAAGCCATCACTCAAAAGGCAGTCACCAGAGTGAATCTCTGACACTGTCAACAAAGAACACGTTTGTTCCCTACCACTGTCTAAAGGAGAACAAACCACTTGGGCCTCTTTCTTTCTTTCTCTTAATTACTAAGAGATTATATATGGGCATGAGTACCACTTGGTGGATGACATCTGGAATAAAGGTTTTTCTGCCTCAGAGGAAGCACCAATCCATCACATGGCACATTTTCAACTCCAATAATACAATTTATAGAATCATTAACTTTTAAAATTATGTTAAATGTTATCCATACTAACAGACATTTAAAATGTTAGGCTTATTCTCTCTGACATCACTTATAATGCATTTTATTTTTAAACACTGGCATGAGGTAGAAGATAAGGAACTCACAAAAGAAAGTAATCTTCAAAATACCAAACTCTATTCAATACAATCAACCCCGAGAGAGAAGTAGGAAAAGTTACAGCCTTAAGCTGGTAGACTGACTACTGTTAAAATATTACCCTTACCTGAAAGAAATTTCTTATATTTGAAATTGCCCCCTTTTCCCAGTTTAAGGTATTATGGAAAAAGGACAATAAACATTCTAAAATATTCATAAAGATCATATACAACAGCTTCTCTTAGCCATCATTTTTTACTTTACCATGTTGCCCTAAATCACCTCGATTGAGATACAGGTCATTTGCACTTGAATAAGTGATCAATATCAATATGGAGGTTAAAAATCCTTCTAGCATAAGAAGCAAGATAAAAGGAATGATTCACATTTAAAATAATGTACTTTTCGTAAAAACTAGCAGCACTTCATTCTACTAGGATATACAAATTTGGCTTCGTTGACTGGCCAGAAACAAAGGAAAATGTATACAGGTCCAAAACAGCTCCTTGCACAAGGGAAATGTGAGGTTACAAGTTTTCTTAACAACTAACTACCTCCTCATTAGGTGGTGTGTGAAACTACTGGAATGTCAATTTCAATGGCAGAAAGGCGGGAGCGTGCTGAATAGGGCTGTGAGTAAGTATGCATACTGGGAGGATGGGAGTACAGTGGTTGCCAGAAAGGAGAAGGCAAAGACTTGCATGCACAATACCAAATAAAGAGCAGAAGGGAAGTCATAAACAGACCCCCAGCACTAGCGATAGTGACATAAACTGCATAGTCAAACGTGAAGACTGGCTCGAACTTCTTGTTCAGATGGATGTTATAAAAGATGACCCAGATGGATGGGGAGAGGCTCACAGTTCCTGCCAGGAAAAACAGCAGCCCGGCCACCAAGTGGCAGCCTGCACTATTGACCAGACACTTGGCCAGTTTGATGTTGGGCACTGAAGACCTGAAGGCCGTGTTACACATTCCAATCAGGCAGAGCAGCAGGCCACCCATTGCGATCAGGATGCTGAGGGGCAGGGCAAACTGGAGGACCCGCAGGTCCAGCTGGTCAACTGATGAGTACCAAGTAGCGTCGTACATGAGGCAGTCACTGCTACCGTCGTATCGGGCACACTTCACCCACAGGCCTGTGTAAACGGTCAGGTTCTTCTCATTTCTGTTGAACGTGATCAATCGTAATTTTCTCCAGTTGGGAAGCAGAGTCCCTGCAAACAGGCCTGCTACCGAGGCAATTCCACACAGGACGGAGAGGACTGTGGCTGCATGGACATCCCGACAGCCCATGGCAGGCAGGCTTGCGCAGTACTGTCAGCCAGACTAAGGGGTGACACACAAGAGGACAAATCATGAGGGGACAATAGGAGAGCAGAGCAGGAAGGGTGGTGCTGATTGGCAACACAACTAATGATGTCAATGCAAAGAGGAAGAGGGAAATTCTGTCCCTTGTTTCCTCTCTATGTACAATATCAATGTATATAAACACATATGCACATGACCTCAGAGCAGAGATGCACACACACAGGTTAGTTTACCACCGACTGGGCCAGGTAGCAACTAAAGTCTTTAGACTTGAGTATTTTTCTTCACAGTGAATCAGAGGAACAATGATAATAATTTCAAATTCTCTTAATATCACATTTGAAATTCTCTCAGTTGTCAATAATCACTCTTTCAATGCACATATATCAAGCACTTTCATGTGTCAGGCACTCAAAATAAATAGGGTCAGAGCACTCATCAACTATCAACTATAAACAACACCAGTTCAGCCTCAAATGCTCATGCAAATGTAAAATGAGACTAGCACACAGCAGATGGGAAGGCAGCTCATCAAAGACAAAGGTGTAGGGAAAGCAGCACTATAGGACAGCGGAGTGGTTGAGGGCAGACTTAGCCAGACTGCTTGGGTTCTAATGCCCATCTCCTCACTTGCTAGCTGAGTGACTCTGGGTCAGTGACAGAACTTCTCTGTCTCTCATTTTCCCATCTGTAAAATGGCAAAAATAACAGTGCCTACCTCACAGGGTTGTTCTAGGTATTCAATGAGTTAATATAATGTGAAGTGCTTACAACACGTCTGGCACGTTCTAAGTGCAATGCAAGTGTTAATGACATCTTAGCACTCAGTGATCAGCTCAGTCCTTGGCATACTGGAGCACTTCAAAGAGCATTTGCTGAAGAAATGTTAAATAAGAAAAGCAAACATCTCATTCCTATATACTAGGCACACTGGAAAATTACAAAACATAAATAGACTCCTCTCCAATGAGTTAGTCAAATGAAAAAAAGGGAACAAAGGTCCCTGAAATCATTCTGCTCAACTGCTTCCTGGCTTATTCAATATAACTTGTGTGCTTTTCAGGTTATTATACTATTACTGATCATATAAGATGAATGCAAAGATTTCTGAAGTAATGGCAACCTATCTCTATCAATGCTATTAAAAGGAAAACAAACAAGTAGCCAGGCCTTTCTCTCATCCCATTAAAAGGCTGTGTTCTTTTTCTGTAGATGACAAACTATAAAAATCAGTATTTTATTCAGCTTTAATTTCTTCAAGAGTTTGAAACTCACTTTTCAAACACCACTCAAATGTATCTTCTCTGCCTTCTATCATGCCCTCTATGAGGCAACAGAAAGAACTAATAAGGTAGCACATTTACTTCTTTTAGTCAGATCACGACGAAGGGGTATGGTTGAGAATATTCTTATTTCTGGATAGAGTACCTGTTTGGAGAATCCACCTTCCTTTGCAGAGTCAAATATTATCTGCTGGGATGGTGGAGTAGCATTCCCAGGAGTTCAGGGGTCAGAAAGAATGCCAAAATGCTGGAAAACTGGGTTAGGACTTGATCTAATGTGTTCAAATAGGAGGGTACAATGTTCTTTAGAAAACAATGTATTTGTATATTTAATCTAATGATATGAAGTAGGAAAAATTTTACTAGCAGAATATATATACTGCTAGTATATATTTACTAGCAGAAAATATACACACACATAGATATACGTGTAGTATAGTAATACACTATATTAGTATATTTAGTATATTGTATAGTATATACCTAGTAAATATATACTAGCAGTATATATATATACGGTACAATATAATACACACATATATACAGTATAATATAAAATCAGAGTTTAAGCACAAGTGACTATTTTTTAAAGTCTTTGGGTTAAGCATAATTGGTTCTAAGTTTCTCCATTAACATAAGTTTACTATTTGTTTATCATATTGTCTTCTGTCAGTATTACCAGAAGTAGCAATTGTTTAAGAAAATGTTATGGATGAAAACAAAACAAAGGAATTATAGTCCTAATTTATTTTTTTGTGCAAATTGGGGGAAAAAACCGTCTTGCTTAATTTTAGCAACCAATCACCTTGGTCCAGCAATGAAAATTCTGGTGCAGGTTTGAGGGTGTTGATACTGAAAAAGGCTACTAACGATGTCAATCTCCAGAATTCAGCTTCCTGTTGGTTTTTGCTCATTCATCTCTCTCCCTCACACACTGTGAGCAACTTGCACAGTGCCTGGCACACAAGTCATTCTAAGAATATTTGAATAAATGAGTACTGGGCCCTGTTCCAAGACCAAAGTAACTCACAAAGGCAGGCTATTGATAATGTACAAGTGGAGAAGGCAGTAGCCATTACTAAGAAATCATTCATTCAATAGGTATTTACTGAGTATCGAGCACATGCAAAACACTCTTGTTAGGCCCTAGAGGGATACTGAGGCCACTAAGATCTGGACCTTGTCCCAATGTGTTAACAGTCATACTGGGGGAAAGTATATGCTGTTTTATGAGAACTCATAATGCTGACAGCAAGTCAGTTGCATGACTACTACATATCAAGTGATTGTTGTTAGAATTATGCAAAGAGAACCAACAAGATCAGGATAAACAACTTTAATATTAATAAATAATAATTAATTAATTAATTCCTCTAGTTCTTAGCCTATAGACTATCAAACAACACTAATGAACAGAGGTGGGTCAATATTTAAGTATCAAGTGTGTTCAATTAAATCAATGCAAGTGTTGTATCAGTCCCCCGAACTTGCTTTTGCTGAAGCGTTCTTAGCTCAGATTCCCGAGATTGACTAAAAGTCCTATTTACAGAGCCAACAAGGACACCACGGCATTTTTCAGAAGAGAAATACTATAGCAGCCTCAATTCTTCAGCTAAATTTCAACCTCGGTGCTGGAATTAACATCCTTGCTCTTTGTAACTTTCTTCAGCTGCTTTACTTTTTATGTCTTCTTAACTCCACATACCTATGATTTGATAATAAGTCATATATCCCACTAGAGGGACGAAGCAACATTTTATAGGGATAGCTGGGAGAAGTAATATGTTGAGTGATTTAAAACTGAAAGATAATGCTGACTCTCGGGTTAGGATCTGTCCATACTGAGAGGGCAAAGACCTCTACTTTCATGCTATGCAAATTAATTTTGAAGCGAGAATAATTTTTTTCAAATGCAAATCTGATCATTTCACTACATTTCTTAACATTCAACGGCTTCTCATTTCCTTCAGAATAAAGTTTCTAAAGTTTCAAATCCTTCTCAGGGTCTCCAAAGTTTAAAATCTCACCAACTGCTTCCTGCCAAATTCTCAATCTCCTTATGTGTCACTCTCCCATCTTACACACTACAGCCTATGCAGCCATACTGCTTTTAACTTCTCAAATTTTCCACTTTTTATTTTGGCTAAGGGCTTTTCCTTATGCTATTCTTCCTCTGAGAACTATCTTAATCCCATCCTATTCTTTGCTAAGCCAACAAGTATTCATCTTTCTGGTTATCTGCTCTGGTAGCACCTCTGTACTTGTCCTCCAGTAGCAGTGATTATGCTTATAATTCCTTGTTCAGTGTTTATCTTTCCCACCAGCCTGTGAATTCCTGGAGGACAGAGAGCCCTCTGTTTTATTCACTGTGTCCAACACTGGCACATAGAAGGCACTTGATTATTTGTTAAATGAATGAACAAACAAAACAAAAGGTCCATATGAGTATGGTCAGGATACAGGGAGAGAGTTACACATTTGCTCTAGTATCAGTTGCATTCATTTCATTCATTCATATCCTGTGTTCTGAAGCCTCCAAGCTGCTTCTAGACTGTGCCCCTTTTCCACTCTTTATTGGCCAAAGTCACTCCCATTTTTCAAAACAAAGTTCATTTTCTTCCCCCAGGAACCTCCCAAGAAAGATGAGGCCATTCCCAGGCATTTACATACAGACTATGCTTCTACAAATACATATGTAAGTTTGGCAACACTGGTTAACTTTCACAGTGGGTAGGGAGTCAATCAATTATGACTGTGTTGATACTTGTGTTTTCAACTTAATAGGTATGTTACATATTGGATATACTCCTCTTCATTAAGAGTGGTTCATATATCAAATTAATGTTTGCTTATCAAAGCTAAACAATTTATTATATTTGTATTTATATTTTCTTTTTAAAATAGCAATGGGGGAAAAAAATAAACATCTTTTTACCATATGAAAACCCCTTATTAGGGACTGTGGAAAATATGCAAGGCTAAGAACATACTTTAACATGTTAAATCTGAGAAGCACACATGAACACTAGCTGGGCAACAGCCTTGAGCTGGGTCATACATACAGATGTGTGTGCTTGTTGTTTCCATCTGAGAGGCAGCTTGGTATTGTAGTCCAGGTGACCGAATACCCAAATGCCAGACATAACCTACCATTTACAAACTGGACAAGTCACCTATGTCCTCTGAACCTCAACTATCTCATTTGTAAAACGTCCTCCAAGATAGCTGTGAGATCATGAATAGTAATGCCCTTTGTAAAACAGAATATAGTCAGAAATTTTAGTCTGTAATGACTATGAGTAGGCTTTTTTACTTTCTTTAGCTAGGAACATCTTTCCTCTGGACTCTCAGCAAACAACCACAGATGATTACAGCCATATAATAATGGTAGAGCATTCTTTTTGGAGTAGTTATGACCAAATCAAATAAGAACTCTGTTTCAAAACAACCAATTCACATTTGTCATTTGACTATCTGTTCCACTGTGACTTTCAGAGAAGTAGATGGATAAAATTTGGTACACAATTTTTATCAAAGGTTATCCAAGATATCATTTCAAATAAAAATATTTTCAAAAGGATATCTGTTCTGTGGTTTTGAACAGAGTTCAAAGAAGTCTGGAGTAGGAATAGTGGCTAAGGGCTTTAGGAATTCACAGACCCATCACTATCTATTTTTTCAGGGACAATTCTGAGGAACAGTTAAATGAAAACACATGTGTAACAGCTATTAATTCTTGATAGAACACCAGCAGTCCCTTCTATCTGTAATTTGGGTTTTCTTAGAAATTGCAGGTCATCGCTCATTGAACTTACAAGGGAGGTCTGTCCTATAACTTTATTTTGCTGAACAGGAGAAAAATGTGTCATCTGATATATGGTAGCAAAGGGAAGAGAAATAAGATATAATCAAAGGATGTACTTACTCTTTGAGGTACCTGATGGTTCTAAAAGAACTTTAATCAACTTAAAAGAAATATGTGCACATCTCAACAGACAGGAGAGATAATCTGGGCCTAAAGAAATAGGAAAAATACCCCAAATTAATATAATACTTCTTTAAAAATGCAATTTGAATTCGCACGGAATTAGGAAAAATAGTTAGCAATTATCTAAATCCAAAGAAATGTTATACCAAACAAGATAGGCAAGTTTTTAAAAAAAAAATGGCAGTTTAGGGCCCGGCCGGTGGTGTAGTGGTTAAGTTTGTGCAGCGGCCCAGGGTTCAAGGGTTCAGATCCCAAGCACAGAGTTACACACCGCTCATCAAGCCATGCTGTGGCGGCCTCCCACATACAAAATAGAGAAAGATTGGCACAGGTGTTAGCTCAGGGACAATTTTCCTCAGCAAAAAGAGGAAGATTGGCAACAGATGTTAGCTCAGGGCCAATCTTCCTCACCAAAACCAAAACAAAAAAGGTAGTTTATTCTTAAATTCACACATGATTTATATGTAAGATACAGAAGAAAAAACTCATTTTATGATTTGAGAAGATAGGAAATAAGGGTAAAAATCACTTTAATGTCTTGGAAATAAATTATCAATATTTAATGAATTTTTTAGATCCTTTTCATGACAATAGTGAAAGAATAAGGAGGGCGGAGGAAACAATTGTGTAGTTAGTTGTCTTGCAAGTAAAAGAAATTCATGATGTTTCTTTTATACTTTTTAAAAGAATACTGACAACAAAACTAGGCAAAGTTGATCTTCACTGTGCATCCTAAAATTTGCAACTAGAATGCTTTTCTGAGTTTACAATTCCACCAATGGCTCAACCTGCCATTTAAATGTTTCCAAATATCTTTTTTAAGCATCAGCAACTTCCTCTCCAAATACTATTTATCTCAATAGGTAGGATGAAAACTTGTAAACGCCTGAGAACTTCCTGGATAAAGGCATTTATCACTAGCCCTATTATGGTCATTATGTAGAATGATGTCCGCAGCAGTCTGCACAGAAGAGATTTCAAATGGTTCTTTTCTAAATGTACGTTTCTTGAGTCGGTAACCAGCATAACTGCTCACTCCCAAGTTAAGGGCAATCGTTTTACAATCAAAAACACACACCAGGATCCCTAAGCAATCATCTGACGTGGAGTCACCAAGTGTGGCCTTTCTCTAACGTGGTGATGTACCCCTTCCAAGGTCTGTAGCACAAAACTTGGGCTTCAGAGGAAAGCAAACCAAGGTTCCAGAGCAACCCGCAATCCCCCTCCTCTCCTCTCCCTTCGAGCTGCGTCCTCAGGAGCACCAGAGCTGGCAGAGAGAAAAAACAGAGAAAAAAGAAAAAGGCTCTCCTGGTTAGAGCCAATGGGAAGAGACCGCAACAGTAACTGTTAACGCCCTCAGAACAAGCCCATCCCTGCAACACTAAGTGGGTTCGAACCGCGAGCAGGTCGTCATTACACAACCAGCAGCAGCTGGTGATTCAAAAATAGCAACTCGCAGCTCCACACCGCACACCAGGCCGGTCAAGCCCCCAGCCCCTGGCTGCTCCGGCAAGACACCTCGACATTTCCATACTCCTGTGTACAAAATAGTTTTTTAAAGCTTTATAAAATATACCTCTTCACTCAATTTTCACGTCCACCGACGTGGTCAGCATTTTTGAATGTCCCTGATTCCCCTCGATATACCTATTTTACACAAAATCCTCAACTACTTACGCAAAAGACCCAGAAATCAGAATATCCTTGACCACACCTACCTGTTTCTCACATGCAAGTCATTTTACTCGCCCACACTGACGAGCCTCTTGGAGCGTCTCCCTCTCAGCGTTCCAGGAAGTGCGTTCCCAGCGAGCCGCACCGGAGGCTTCTGGGAGTATCATCAGGTTCTCCCAAGGCTCTAAACAGGAATGCCCCGGATGACCGGGAGACTACAATTCCCAGACTCCACCGGGCCGCCGTCGTAGGCAACATCCTGTGACCACCTCCCACCTTTCTCCCCGCCCCCTACCTCCCCCATTTCTCTTGCACCTTCAGTTCCGTCAAGGTTTGGGTTATAGGTCCAAAAAAAAAAAATAAAAAGTTAAACGAAACCAAATTAAAAATAGTTTGGAGTTGGGTAACCAAGTAAATATTCCCTACTAAATGTGATTTGCCCCTAATAAGGTTTGTTAGCAAAAATCCTTAAATACTTTTTCTCCACAAAGTACTTATTGAGGCACAAAAGGGAAAAAACTCAAACTCTAGAATTTATTTTGAAAATTTTCAAAGGTACAGAGAATTTGAATAGTACAATGTACACCCATATACTTATTCTCTCTCGAGTCAACAATGATCAACATTTGCTACATCTACTTTATCTCCATTTATGTGTGTGTGATCATTTGAAAGTAGTACGCATCATGACACTTCAGCATCCTTTATTTAAAAAATATATCAGATCAGTAAGACTTCTGAATTCTTATTTTAATTCAGATATTCACTAATACAGGGCTTCACATTTAGGAGAAGCCACAAAGAAAGAGACAGGATAGTTGAAATTGTGCAGGAGAGTAAAATTAGTTCAAATATCTAATAGCTAGTTATGTGCTCGGCACTGCCTCTGTTAAGTCCCTTAGGCAGTAAAACACATAAAAAAATTTTTTTTAATAAAGGATGCTGAAGTGTCATGATGCGTACTACTTTCAAATGATCACACACACACACACATAAAGGGAGATAAAACAGATGTAGCAATTGTTGATAACTGTTGACTCTAGAGGGAATAAATATATTGGTGTTCATTGTACCGTACATTCAAATTCTCTGTAACTCTGAAATTTTTCAAAATAAAAAATTTGAGACAAAGCATCATAGTTTTAAACAAAAGTAAAGGATGGCATCCATCCCTATCCCACTCTCCCCTGTATGACTCTGGGCAAGTTAAGTAACCTCTATATGCCTCAGGATCTCATCTGTAATAATGTAACTACATAAAAAAATTATGGTGAGGGGCCAGCCCCGTGGCTTAGCGGTTAAGTTCGCCTGCTCCAATTCGGTGGCCCGGGGTTCACAGACTGGGATCCTGGGCATGGACCAGCACACCACTTGTCAAGCCATGCTGTGGTAGTGTCCCATATAAAGTAGAGGAAGATGGGCACAGATGTTAGCCCAGTGCCCATCTTCCTCAGCAAAAAGGGGAGGATTGGCAACGGATGTTAGCTCAGGGCTAATCTTCCTCACCAAAAAAAAAAAAATTATGATGAGGATTTAACAAGTTACTATTCATAGATAAGTTTACAAATGTCTGACACACAAGGACTATACATGTTTGCTATTATCATCTTCCATTTTGCGTTGCTCTAGTAACAATGGGACTATTTGTTAGTGATGGAAAAAGGGGAAACGCCTATCAGCTGTCCACTGCTACCACCTTCTCACCTGCCATATTGCTTCAGAGGATGGATAAGATTATTTAAGGCCAGAAGCAATCTGATCCCAAAGCCAGACCTAGAAATGTAATAATGAGAAAGAGAGATAGCACAGGGTGGTAAAAGGATCTCCAGGCACAGACGAGCTCTGGGCTTCAGACCAGCTCTGGCAATGGCAGATGGATGATGACAATATGACACAGTTTAACTCACTTCTTTGCTCTGATCTTCCATTCTCTCATCTATAAAACTGAATTGAATCAAATAACTGTGTACAAAATCATTTTATAACTTATTTCTCAATCACAGATCTATATGTAGTTGATTATAATAAAAAAATGACAGTCCCAAAAGGAAGGGAAGACAACTCTATTTCTAGACTTATTGATCAAATTCAGGTCTATAGTTAGCCTGCCTTTGTCATATCAAAGATGGAGCAAAATACTTATGTGCCCTAGTGAGACTAGAATATTGGATTATCATCCTCAGAAGTACTTTAGGTAAGACCTGAGATGAGCAATGAACAATCCTGGCTTTCCAGTTTTTCTCAACAAAGACTCTTTAAGGGCTAAGTCCAATCTTAAAATAAACTCACTGCAATATACCAGCACCAAAATTCTACAAAGATTCCCATTTGGTTACTATATTAGCTTCCTATTACTGCTGTAACAGATTACCACAAACTCAGTGGCTTGTGCTCTGAATCTTCTCTCAACTACAGACATCAACCCCAAATTATAAACTAACTTGCACATATTGTTTCTTGTTATGTGTTAGTCTTATCTCACCATAGTATTTCCAAGTCCAAGACTGAAATTCAACAAATACAGATTAATAAAATAACTCCCCATATACCATTTTTTAGAGGAGCCTATAAAATAAAAAATAATAATTTATCTATTAATTGGGAAGTTGGGAAGTGTATTATTACTATTAGTTGGGAAGTGTAGAGAGAAAAGTAGGGAAGAGTTATGGGTTGAATGTGTCCCTCAAAAATTCATATGTTGAAGTCCTAACCCCCTCAACAGACCTTAGGATGTAACCTTATTTGGAAATAGGGTCTTTGCAGAGGTTATCAAGTTAAAAAGAGGTCATTAGGGTAAGCCTTAATCCAATATGACTGGTTTCCTTATAAAAAGGGGAAATTTGGAGACAATCACACACACACAGAGAATGCCATATGATGACAAAGATAGAAATTGGGGTGATGCTTCTATAAGCCAAGGAATGCCAAAGATTGCCAGCAAACCACTAGAAGCTAGGCAAGTGGCATGGAACAGATTCTCTCTCATAGCCCTGAGAAGGAATCAACCCTGTTGGCACCTTGATCTCCAACTTCCAGCTTCCAGAACTGTGAGACAATAAATTTCTGTTGTTTAAGTCAGTTTGTGGTACTTTGTTATAGTAGCCTTAGCAAACTAATATGGGAAATAAGGGAAGAAGGTTCTGGATAAATCAAGCAGTGAGATGTCACTTTAAAAACTGTTAGGCAATCCCACCATTTGCGATAACATGGATGGTCCTTGAGGGCATTACGCTAAGTGAAATAAGTCAGACGAGAAAGACAAATACCATATGATCTCACTTATATGTGGAATCTAAAAAAACAAAACAACCAAGCTCATAGATACATAGAACAAATTGCTGGTTGCCAGAGGTGGGGGTGGGGTGGCAAAATGGGTGAACGGGGTCAAAAGGTACAAACTTCCAGTCACAAAATAAGTAAGTCATGAGGATGTAATGCGACTATAGTTAATAATACTGTATTGCATGTTGGAAAGTTGCTGAGAGTAGATCTTTAAAGTCTTCAACACAAGAAGAAAAGTTTTTAACTATATATGGTGACAGATATTAACTAGACTTATTGTGATGATCATTTAGCAAAGTATACAAATATCGAATCATTATGTTGTACACCTGAAATTAATGTTATATGTCAATTATATCTCAAGAAACTGTTAGGAAGTTGTAGTCTACTATAAAATAGGCAGGATGACAGCACATGTTTTCTAATCTTCTTTAATCAAGTTACTAGCCAAGAAAGGAGGGAAGGAAGATTGTACAAAACAATTGGCTTAAAGTAGGATAATTGAAGGTTTTTTCCTGAATCACATTCAGGCGTTTTAAATCTTTGTCTTTCACCATGCCTATTACCCCCTGCACCCCCCACCACTATTTTTAAGACAGTTTTTAAAGAGAAACCTGTAAATTAAACTTTTGATGAATGTTAAAAATTTGGCATTATGACATGAATGGTTCTTTAAAGCAGGTGAGTTTTTCTGCTTCATATTTTTATAGGGAAGGCCATGTATGCTCATTATATTGTTCTTACAGTTTCTCTTGACCCTGAAGTAGTACTAGTTCATGGAAAGATTTGTTTTTGAAACCGAGGCTCAATTATTATATAATACTTATTTCCCTCCATCAGGATTCAGTTGACCAGGGGCTTTTATTTACTCTGCCATTTAATCATGTTTCAAATCCATAAGCTTTATTCAATGTCTGCTCTTGATTTAAAATATTTTCAATCTCCCTCAATTTGTAGCAAACAAATACAAACAAAACTGAAGGTATATTTTAGCTCTATAATCATATTCTTTTTCTTAATGTAAGAAAATTAAACATGGTCTTCTTAAAACCTTTTATATAGAAATAATACCAACCATAATGTTTGATAACAAATAAGAACATGAAGGCACTGGTCAGAAGATACTGACAATTTCAGAAAACTAAATTGAAATACATGCCGTGAACAAGGAAGCTTTTGTCCTTCGCTTTCAACTTTCAGTGCACTCAGAGTTTACAAAATAAATAGGAAAAAAAACTATCTTTCCATAAATTGCTCCAAAATTAGTTATAATATAAACTGCATATCCTGTTCTTCAAATTCCAAGTATTTCAAAGGATTTGATTCAGATAATAGCAATGCTTCACATAGCTTCGTACCTGGATTTAATTTCTATTATGAACACATTAATAATATATACAAAGCTGATTACTTCCTCTGAAGTCTTCCAAGTACCCAACAACTATTAATTAAGCAACTATCATATAATGAGAAACATAAAAATTTTAACTGCCTAAAGTTAGTGGTTGGTTACGGTCAGAAATGGTAGTTGAAACTGCTCCTGGCTTTTTCATCCTTGTGATAGCCAACTGAGGCAATAACCCCACCTGTTACTCCTGAGTTATCCACAGGGAAATCCTGCAACTTTCCAACACACAAACTTTTCTTTCTTTTCTCTTCTCTCTCCTTTTCTCATTTCTATTACCTATTTAATTTTTCTTTTCCTTCAGCTGGCTTGTGACACCCACTCAATGCTAAAGAGATTTCTCTGATACTTCCCCTCTACTTGCCAAGCTCCAATCTCAAAACAGAAAACAAAATGCTTCTCTGAAATATCTCTTTAAGAAAAAAAATAGATGTTTATTTTTAACTTTGCAGTAAAAATTATAGCATGTTGTCTGCCAACATTTGTCAACTATGTCTATCTAAATAAATGGCTTAATTTCCAAGGTATAAACTTTTGTTAGGCAAAGCCTTTTGTTTTAAATTGTAAAATATTTGAGACTCTCAAAAGGTTAAAAAAAACTCAAAACACTCACATACCTACCATCCAACTTAAAAAATAATAAATGACCAGGAGGCAATATAGTGTAGTGTTTAAAAGAGATATATGTGAAACACTCAGCACAGTGCCCAGCATATGGAAACATTACCAGGTTGGATATTATGATTATCAGCACAGACCATGTACTCAAACACATTTTCTGGCTTTGTTTCACTTATCTATTTGATAAGGAGAGGGAGATTTAAACCAAATTTGAGATACTCTCAAGGGTTTAAAAATACACATTAAGGGGCCGGTCCCATGGCCTAGTGGTTAAGTTTGGCACGCTCCGCTTCAGTGGCCCGGGTTTGGTTCCCAGGCACGCACCTACACCACTTGTGGGCAGCCACACTGTGGCAGTGACCCACATACAAAATAGAGGAAGACTGGCACAGATATTAGCTGATGGCGAATCTTCCTCAGCAAAGAAAATAAAAATAAATATACATTAAACTCAGCTCACAATTTGGTCCTCAAACAAAATATTTGTCATATTTTTAAAATAAGGTGTCTTTTGTGTAAAGTTTACAATTTATATTATTGTTAATTTTCATCTCATTTTTTAAGCTATAGTTTGTAACTATACTTATGCTGTTGCTTTGAAACATTTTTAATGTACCTTAATGATATTACTAATTTCTAGATGGAACCTACCTTTGTTAACTGAGTTTTTTATCTGAACTTTGCAAACCCTATGAAATTGCTTGGAAAATGCTCCATGTGTTTATATGCATTTCTGACAAGAAAAAAATCTGTAGCCTTCATTAACTTTCTCAAAGGAATCTCTGACCTCCACCCTCCCAAAGCAAATGAGCACTGAGCTAAAAGAAAACACATAACTTTACAAGGAAACTAATTGGATAAAACCTGATACAAAATACTCTCAACCTGCTTTTTCCCATTACGAAAGTAGACTTTTTCCCAATTATATAAATAATACATTTACCACTTAAAAGAAAACATTAAATTTACATAAAGTTCATCTTACTGTGATAAATAAGAACAATATGGATATATATCACAAAAAGAACAATATAGTAATTTCTGGAATTTTTTTATTCATGTGAAATCTTCAGAGCACGGGTCCAACTTCATAGTAGGATATACTTAATACTTGACAGTGTCTGGCAGTATAAACTTGCAGTTCACGATGGTAAATGAATCAAGATACCAGCTCTGTAAGAACTACTGGGACTCAGTAAAAATATGTACACATAGTGTACTGATATCTTGGCTATTCAGTAATATAACAATTAAGTATTCCAAAAAGCATATATTTTGAAAGGTAGAAATAAAAAAGTCTTGCTTAAGGACAAAATAAATGGTATCTGAGATGATGTTAAAAGATTTATTTCAAAATAAATCTTTAAGTTCTTAAAATTTATTTTTCATAAAATAAAAAAGGAATCCAGATTTTCTCCTTTTGTTTAGAATAAAAATTAATCATCAGAAAGAGGGACATAGAGTACACTTTTAGTAACTAGAAAATACATATAATTGAACATTTTAGTGAGTTACATAAAATGTTTCAGTCGTGGAGTAGTAACCTGGGCATTACCGACAGAGCAAGTAAGACACAATTCCTCTTAATCTTCAACACACATCTACTATCCTTTGCCACAGCAGAAAATAAGATTATGATGTCAGAGTTTCAGAAATTCACCTGATGAAACTGTCCTCACATTGCTACTTGTTTATATTCAGGAAGTAACAGAAGTAAAAAAGAGAAAAGAAATGACACTCAAGTCATAAATGTAAAACATACCCAATATGAAACATGGTCATTATCATCAATACAGATGTTCAAATTCCAAATGCCTTCCTCACTCTCATTCCTTTGCTTTAAAGTGGAACCAGGCTATTCTAACCCCTTGCAGTTTCTGCTATCAAATGTGAGATGCATGAGGGCAGCAGGTCCCGTCTGTTTTCTTCAGCACTGTACATGCAGCACCCTGCACAGTGCCTGGCACAGGGGTGACACTCAATAAAGACCTGTGCAATGAAGAAAAAAGAAATACAAGAAAAGCCAGTGATCTGGGGACTAGGATGGGAGTGGGGAACAGAAAACAGAACAAGTGAAAGTGAAATAACGGTTGTAAGAAGTCACTCACATTGCCATATTGAAAGAAATTTAAGTAGAACAATACTGACATCATTTTTCTTTAATACTTACAGCCACATATAAGGGCTTCACTAAGCCTTAAATTCCAAAACAGTTCCTAATAATTTAAAAGCAGCATTGAAGAATAATTTTTAAAAGGCTTATTAACTTGCTATTTTGTAAAAAAAACTTGGAAAAGGTTTGTATAATGAACTCATTTGGGTAAAAAGATATATGCATAAAATCTTCTGCAAGAACATAAGAAACTATTAACAGCGGTTTTCTCTGGGAAGGACTGGAGGGCCTAATGCAGAAAGACGGGAACTTTTCTTTTTCACTTTATATGCTTTTGCACTGTTTAAAACTTTGTTTTTCAAGGGACAAGTATATTTTATAATAAAACTCATTAGGAGAAAATGTCTAATTTCTAAGTATTTTTGAAATTCAGGCAGAAATTTAGAAATTATAATCTTAAGAATATATTGATGATTGATAATACCGGTTAAAGTTTGCACTTCCTACTTATTCCATCTTTACTTACCAAAGCACAAAAAAATATACTTAAGAAAGAAAATTTCCAAAAGCTGAAATCACAAACATTTATCTGTTGATTTCTGTTAAATATTATCAGTGATCTTTATTATCACTGAATATGTTTACATTTAGGGTTTTCAGGTTTTCCAAAAAAGGGAACTATTATATATTTAGTGGAACCAGGTACATGACAGACTCAAAAGCAAATAAACAAACAAAACCTAGTTGCTCATTCTAATAATACTATAGGCAACCCTTTATATAATTAAAAAAAAAATGATCTCATCAAGAAGATGTGGTATATATATACAATGGACTACTACTCAGCCATAAAAAAAGACAAAATTGTCCCATTTGCAACAACATGGATGGGCCTGGAGGGTATTATGTTAAGTGAAATAAGCCAGAAAGAGAAAGACAAACACTGTATGACCTCTCTCATATGTGGAATATAAACCAACACATGGACAGAGAAAACTGTATTGTGGTTACCAGGGGCAATGGGGGCAGGGGTGGTGGGCACAAGGGGTGAAGGGAGACATATATATGGTGATGGACAAACAAAAATGTACAAGCCAAAATTTCACAATGTTATAAACTATTAAAACATCAATAAAAAAAATGATCTCAGTAGAGATATAAATATAAGAATATCAGAAGATTTTATTATAGGTGGACTGTCCATAAAATTATAAATTGTCATTTTTAGCTCTCAGTTACTGTTTTTACTGGTGATACACAATTACAAAACAACAATTTAAAAGGTATGATTCTGGGGCCGGCCAGGTGGCACAAGCGGTTAAGTGCGCACGCTCCATTGCAGCGGCCCGGGGTTCGCCGGTTCGGATCCCAGGCGCGCACTGACGCACCGCTTGTCAAGACATGCTGTGGCGGCATCCCACATAGAGTAGAGGAAGATGGGCATGGATGATAGCCCAGGGCCAGTCTTCCTCAGCAAAAAGGGGAGGATTGGCAGATGTTAGCTCAGGTCCAATCTTCCTCACAAAAAAAAGGTATGATTCTTGAATGATGGTGTATATACCAGAAAGTTAATAATAACTGACCTTCTAAAAAATACGTGTCTGTGGAAAAGCTTTCAAATGAACAGAATTTCAATTATCCATTCTGGGACTTGTACCAGCATTCTTTGATGGTGGCTCACTATAAGATATTGTATTGGAAATCTGTAAATTAAGCAACTGTTTCTTATGATATGCATCATTTTCCCGGTTGGCATGTTCATCTAGAGATTTTCTTATACAGTTCTTTAGTTCGTCAATTCCTTCTCCGGTAAATGCAGAGATGGGGATGATGTGTTGGAACTCTATAGTCCTCTCTGGAATCATGTTCTTTTCAAATAAATGCAGAAAATCTGAAACAAAGAACACAAAACTAAGCTGATTTTCATTGTCTTTGAAAGTAAATCAAAACTATGTTAGAGGTTTAATTTGTGAACCAAGGAACCCAAAACTTAGCATTTTTAATTCCTTTTTTCCTTCTTTCTCTAATAAGCTCTCAGAACCTTTGGTTTTTACTAGTGACAATGGTAAGATTCTTGGCATGTAATAGGTACTTAGTAAATATTTGTCAGATTAATATATTTTAAACCAAATTAAGCACAAAAAAAGATGAATGACAAAAGATGATTTACTTAAAGAAGCAATAAATTTTGTTTTGGGGGGGTTCAATAAAGTGATTCCTGATTTGGGATATTCTAGCTTGCCTCAGCACACAGGTGGCCTTTAACTGCCCTAAAGTGTAGGCTTATCGTCACTGATGCTAGGAGCCATGCTAAAATTGAAAAGGTGCAGGCAGAGCTCAAGAGGAGATCATTTCAGATGCATCCAAACTATCACCCCACAGGGGCCAACAGCTGTAACATTACTTTTGCCTCTTCCCTGCCACCAAGGCAATGGGAGAGAGGATAGCATACTCATGGAATGGGTTAACACTGATACGAACTGGAAAGGCTGGACTGAAAGAGACTGGACAAGCCAACATGGAGCTTAGTTTCTGAGATTCATATGCCTCCAAGGAAGTCCAGAGAAGCTAACTCAGGAATTATCACTGCCCTCAGTCTCTATTTTGTTTTACAATGGTCCAAAATAGCCACAAACTCTTGAGTTACTCTCCATCCTGGTGCCTCCTCTGAAAATTCTCTTTCCTGCAAGGCCAACTAGCAAACAGATCTAATGACCTCATAAAGCAAATGACATTAAAGAATAAAGACTATTCACTTTACTAATTCCAGGGAATATTTATATCCCAAAAGTAACTTACTAATTCAGGCACAGCTCCGATATGTAAATTACACAGGGGAGAGATTTTTAGAGGGGAGAAAGGATCTTTTGATGCTATCTGCTAGTCTTAGTACACTATAATTTATTTTCCTCAATTTTTATCCCAAAGGTAAAAACAGAGAAATTAGTAATATTTGAAAACATATTAGCTATTTGCCATCCTCCATACTTTTTCCTCATTTGTGCAAGAGGTTCTCTACTAAATTCAGAAAAATGAAGGCATCATCACTGTAGGATAGAGTGTTCCGCAAAGGTCAATATTCAGAACTATGGAGAGTCCCTTACAGTTCCTTTACACAAAGTGGTCCATTTAGGAACAAATTTCAAACAAATAAATCCTTTTGGAATAACAGCATCTATTATTCTGTGTCACACATACATAGGTACTCAGCTTCTTTTTAGAAGATTAGTATTCTTCAGAGACCTACAGAGCTGGCAGTGCAAAGATACACATATCTTTAGAACTATCAGCTCTGTTTTTAAATTCATGGTGTACTAGGGAAAGGAAGTTCTAGAACTTGTTAAATATGTTACTAAAATGAAAGACTTTACAGGTAGATGCTGACATTTTCCTCTTCTGATCTAAATCCCACGAACTCTTTAAGAGTTGGCCCAGTTTAAGTTTTACTTGTTCAGCTCAAATTAATCTTTCTCTTCTTTCGTCTCTACTTACTGTCCATATCACATATTCTGAAACTTGATAATAATTTTCTTACAATGCTATTTAAATGTGTCATATGGTGTGTGTTCTTTCTCCAAACATACTTTTTTTTTTTTAATTTTATTTATTTATTTTTTCCCCCAAAGCCCCAGTGGATAGTTGTATGTCATAGTTGCACATCCTTCTAGTTGCTGTATGTGGGACGCGGCCTCAGCATGGCCCGACAAGCGGTGCGTCGGTGCGCGCCCGGGATCCGAACCCGGGCCGCCAGCAGCGGAGCACACGCACTTAACCACTAAGCCACGGGGCCGGCCCAAACATACTTTTTTTAAGAGTAGCAACTGTCAGTTTTCTTTTCCACTGATTATAGCTCTTAGCACTCTCTGCACATACTAGGTATTCATTAAATTGGCATTAAATGAATGAATGGGTTTACCTTTAGGATTCTGGAGTTGGTTCATCAGTACACGGAATTTATCTTGGGCATTTGGCAAGTCCATTTTATTAACTGCCAGGAGTGCAGGTTTTGTCTGAAGTTCCTCTTTGTACAACTCCAACTCCTTTAAATCAAAAGAGAAAAACCAAGTAATTTTATTAAAATATCTATATAAATTACCTATTTAATAATGTCTTTCTTTACTTTATAGGGCCTGGGTAATCTAGAGCCCATTCACATCTCTGAAATGCAGTAAATCCCAACAACCACAGTCCCAACTAATTAACAAAAGAAATTCAAAAAATGCTTACTGGTTAGGTCATGTGTTAATATATTCTAGCTCACATGACATCCTACAGACAGTTGTGATTTTGTGCCTAGAGTCCAGATATTTGGACTTCTATTAAGTACACAGATAAAATTCAGAAGTAAGTAATGACAATTTAATGCTATGCCTGTATTATTCCCAGAAAAAGTAAGTGTGCTTAGGAGTAAATCTTTGTGACCACAGATTAGACAATGGTTTCTTAGGTACGACAGCAAAAGCACAAGCAAAAGAAAAAACAGGAAAAGGAGACTTCGTTAAAATTTAAAATTCTATGCTTCAAAAGATATCCTAAAGAAAGTGAAAAGACAACTGATAGAATGAGAGAAAAAATTTGCAAATCATATTATCTGATAAGGGACTTATATCCAAAACGTAAAGAACTCTTACAACTCAATAATAAAAAGACAACCCAATTTAAAAATGGGTAAAGAATCTGAATAGACATTTCCCCAAAGACATACAAATGGCTAATAAGCACATGAAAAGATGCTCAACATCATTAGTCACTAGAGAAATACAAATCAAAACTATTATGAAGTACCACTTCACCCCTACTAGGATGGCTAAAATAAAAAAGACAGGCAATAACAAGTGTTGACATTAGTGTGGAAAAATTGGAACCCTCACACAATGCTAATGGGATTGTAAAATGGTGCAATGCTGCAGCCACTCTGGAAAACAGTTTGGCAGTTCCTCAAAATGTTAAACACAGAGTTACTACATTATCCAGCAATTCCACTCCTAGGTATATACCCAAAAGAAATGAACACATGTCCACATAAAAACCTGTACACAAACGTTCACAGCAGCATTATTATAATAGGCAAAAAGGGGCAAAAGAAATAGGATAAAAACAAAGTCCTGGAGGTAAACAACATCATGCTGTGTTAGAGAGAGCATATGGCTGGATACAGAATGTAAGGGGTGGCGGGAGACAGAGACAGACTGCTAGGTAGGAATCCAGACCTCATAAACCTTGCCAGACCTCATAAACCATGTTCAGGTTAGCCTTTAGCCTAACAGCAATGAGGGACCATCAAAGGGTTTTAAGCAGGGAACAAACATCAGCTTGGCTCTTTTACAAAGATCACTCTAGCTGCCATAAAAAAAATGGACTGGAGAGAAGTGAGATTGGAACCACGGAGACCAGATAGGAGAGACTTAGAACATTTAAGTGAGAGGGGCTGATGATTACACAGCGTGGATGAAGACAAGTAGATGAATTTCAGAGAGATTTAGGATATAAAACTGACAGAGCTTGATGTAGGCTGTGAGAAAGATAGAATCAAGACCACCACCCAGGTTTCTGGCTTATGTACTCTAAGTAAAGTTCTGGGGGAGGCTGGAGAGTTTAAAAAAAAAAAAAGTTCAGTTTTATACATATTAAGTTTGAGAAGTTAATGGGACATCCGATCAAACATGTCCAATAGGCAGCTGGTCTGAAGCACAACCAAAAGATCTGGGTACAGATACAGATTTGGCAGTCATCAGTATATTAACGATAAATGAATGCTACTTAAAGAACGAACAGAAAAGAGCCTAAAAGGTAGACTGACAAGTAGTCTAAGAACTAAGAATAAAAGTTCAAGCAAGAGATAATCTGAGAAATATGTAAGAGGAATTTGGAATCAAGGAAGGTTTTATCAATTATGATAGTTTGAGGAGCAGGTGAATATTGAGGAACTGGAGATAGCAGTTTAGACACTGACATCAAAGTTTTAAAAAGTACAGGCAGAGTATATATTTATTCTAATTATTACACGTTATTTCGTACAGTCCTATGTGCCTACATGCTAAACCAGATACAAAACACAGTGAAACAGAAGACCTACTTTTGTAAGCAGTATTATGGTTTCAAAGGCAGTTCTGTATTGAGTTTGGGAAGAAAGCTGAAATCCAGAAATATCAACCTTAAAAAAAAAGGGAAAGAGACGGCCTTGAACATAAGAACAACAGCTATACATTTTATGTTTTGAAGTGTTTTACTCTCTCAAGCTAAAAATAATTTCTTAAGCTATACTCTATTGATAATTTAGTAATTCAAAATAAGTAAGAGAAATTGAGGTGTTAAGATAACTATAATTATTCTGATAAAATGACAGTATTAAAATAAGAAACTAGTATAGATAAGACAATTTATACTAATATAGGCAATCTCATATATAACTCTAGCACCATCAAAGAAGTAGCAAAGAGATACTATGTAATATAGAAGTATGCGGAAAATCTTAAGGAATTAAACCTTGATAAATATGGCCAAATTTACATGTGATATAGTAAACAATGCCATTTCCATCCCCATATTATAAACAGACTACTTACTGTATTTGAACCCCATCTACACAGACTTAGTGGAGTAACATATGCTACTACTTCATCTTTAAATCTTATTAATATAAAAAATTTCTAGGAAAACTAAATTCATTAATTTTCACATTCATTTGAACATTACACTGATATGCATTTGACTTACAATAAAAAGTAGTTGTTTAGTTCTTTCTACATGCTTGAGGAATTTGTGGCCCATTCCTTTGTTCATATGAGCTCCTTCTATTAAACCAGGAAGATCAGCTACTGATATCTAATACAAAGTTAAACGGTTTGATAAAAAAGAAAAATACATGAAAACCACACATACTATTACATTAAAAAATTTTCATATTTCAATTATAGACAGTTCCTAATTTGTGATTACCACTGCATCTTTATAAAGCCAAGATATCTTTATAACAAAATAAACGTATTACAAATCAAATCCTTTGTTATCAGAAATTAGAGTCCCATTTTTACTTATTAATCTAACAATCTAGGAATTTTAGGGATTAGTTTAACATTTATTAATCTCATAAATTCTCTTTAGAATTCCATAAATTATATTGTTCAATATGAACTTTTCACAGAATTTCAACTTTCTGAATTCTTAAAAGTATACAAGGATATTAATTCAGCAGACATTTACTTAGTATAGTTCTGTAGTTTTAAGTTTTAAATTCTATATGTAATTCATTATTTGGCACCCCTGTTCCTTTTCTGTTCACACTCTACCAGGAGGACTATTAACCATTCTTAAAAAGTAAAGGATATAGTGTTCCTAAACTCTTTTTGGAGGTAATAAGAGTTATTAACCATTATTCTACACTTTTGGTTTTCAAACCTTACTGCGTATCATAATCATCTATGAACTTTTATAAACTACAGATGTCCAGGCCCTACCTCCAAGGGATACGGTTTCAAATCTCTGGGTCCCAGGCTTCATTTATCATCGTGTTCTTAAGCCATCTAGATAATTCTGATGTGCAGTGAGGAATGAGAAGAACTGCTCTACACACACAGCCAGTGTGGATAAGGATTTCAGGGTTTTAAAGGAAGTTGTGGCTGTGCCACAAAGCAGTGTACACAACAGAGATCTCATGTCCTGAAATTTTTTTTGGAAGTTCTCTACTGATTTCCCTTAAAAATTACAAACAATGTTCTCTTTTCCTCTAAACACTGTTTGCTATATTCTTTTTATCTTGTATTTATAATTTTACTTATTGTTTAATATTCTATATAATTGCTGAAGTTTTTAAAATTTTTTACTGTTATATCACTATTATAAATGAATATAAATCTTCTATGTCTTTTGAATTATATCAGTGGATTATATAAAACAACATTGATACAGCATCACCTTAAGTTACATTAGAGTTCACTGTTGGTGTTGTACAGTCTATGGGTTTTGACAAATATATATATTTGACAAATATATATGACAAATGTATCACCATTATAGTATCGTATAGAATATTTTGATTGCCCTAAAAATCCTCTGTGCTCTGCCTACTCATCGCTTCCTTCCCCCTAATCCTTGGCAACCACTGATCTTTTTGACAAACTGGACCTAAACTTTGAAAGAATAAGAAGTTAAATTCTTATACAGTATTTTACTGATAGTGCTCAGCAGAATTGATTTGATCATGGCTTCAATGATCAAAAACAAAATCCTGCTACTTTTTTTTCCCATAACACCACAGAAAGGGTCAAATATTATAAAGTCCAAGTACCAAAAACAAGTACTTTCACTTCTAACCAAGTGTTTTACTTTAAAAACACCCACCTGTTTGAAATCATTATACATAATCTTTCCAAGTTCAGGCTTTAATGTTGTAACTAAAAGAAAAAACAACAATAAATTAAAGCTAGATAAAGGCTGGTACTCTCAAAATTGTCTTAGCTTTATGTATAAAAGACTTCTTTTCTGTGAACAATTTAATTCAGATTATGTTCTCATCTGTTGAAATGGACGGTACAATTATCTCTGTTATTTATGATATACCTGGAAGAGGACAAATATAGATTTTTATAATCTGCATAAGCATAAATCTAATCTAATTAGTGGGCCTCAAAGTTCCTCTGTCACACTCTAAAGAGCACAGTAAAGGTGTTGGGGTAGGGGACAGAATTTAGGTCTGTGGGTAAAATTTGTCTAGTCCTTTCTCATTCAGTTATCCCCAAGTCTCATCAATCCCGCACTAGCCTCTTTCCTATGACTTTTTGCTTTTCTTCCTCTTTCCTTCTCAAGAGTCCCCCGTATTACAACAATATTGGCCATGTAATTTATAGCAGTTAGTGCAAAATTAACTCTACTTTTTTCAGACATTAATTTTAGAAAGGCTTAACTTTATTTTCCAGGTTAATGTCATTCTGTGCCTTTGTGTTCAACAATGGCAGAGATCCTATCATATTCATTCACTACTCTTAGTTTTAGCTTCCATGTCTCATCTAGCTACTGCAAAAGCCTACTAAGTGTTCTTCCTAGATCCATTTATGTCCCACACCAATCCATTTTCTGTATTAGATGGAGAAAGATCTTCTGAAAAGCAAATCTAATCATTTTATCCCTTGCTTAAAAGGCTATCAACTGCTCTTAAGATATAAAGATCAAATACAGCCTATGTGATCTATATGATATAGTCTCCACCCACATCTCCAGCCTCATGATTCCCTCTTTCCCTTCCACATGTTCTCTAGACACACAAATTTACTCCCTGCCACCACAGAGCCTTTCTGTACATGCTATTTCCTCTGAATGAAAGACCCTTCACCTTCACTGTCTGTCACTGATTAACTCATATTTATTCTTCGTATCTCAGCCCCAGCATCACACTTCCTCAAAGAATAAAGCAGTCACCTAACTCTTTCATAGAACCATATCATATTTCCTTATATTCATTACTGAGATATGTAATAGTCTGTAAGCTCAATAAAAGTCAGAACAGTATCCGTTTCTGCTTACCATTCGTTGTAACCCCAGAACCTACTGCAGTTCCCAGAAATAAATACTTGCTAAATGAATGACAGAATTCATCTTTCCCTCCTTAATATTTATCACAGTTCTTGACAAAGGGTAGGTGCTCACAAAATCATAACTAAACCAAATAAATGATTATATAACAGAGAAACAAATGTAACAAAGCGTCTAACAAGTACTAGGAACTTTGCGGAGGGCTATAAAGGTTTCAAAGATCAATGGGAAATGCCCGTATTCTATCTGCCAAGAGTTTTCCAACTAAGGCTACCCTCAGAGTTGTCATTTTATTCATAATTACTCAAAGAAAGATCACTCTTTGCAAATTTACCTCTACACATTAAAATACATACAAATTATACTTACATGCATAATCTGCAATTGCAGGCTTTGCGTGAGATATCTGACTTAACAAAGAAGATTTTCCAGCATTTGGGAATCTGAAATGAGAAAATGAAGTTATACACTACAACAAATATCAGTATTTATACTTGCTTATCTCTGAATTACTAACATTTCAGGAAGCAGATTTCTTGAATATTTCTGAATTAAGAACAGAATATAATTTAAAATAATCTTGAAAAACTTGAGGAACAAAATATACTTATGAAAAAGGTAAAGATAAATCCATGCTGGACACCGAAGATGTTTCAGTATTGAGAGTGGATAATTCAAATTACGAAAACAACAACAACAACAAAACTTGTACATCATAGAAAAATAAAAAGAAATAAAAACATCTGCAATCCACTATCCCTAGCCAAACACTAACAAAATATTACTTATTGTTTTATTGATTTTTTAAATTTTATACGGACATTTTCAAATATATACAAAAGTAGAGAGGAGTTATGAATCCCATTTAGCCATCACCTAGCTTCAACAAATCCCAATATACTCTCAAGATACTTTTTTTAAAGCTGGTTTGTTTGAATAGGACCCAAATAAAGTCCGTATGTTACCATTGGTTGATACGTCTCTTAAATTTCTTTTGGTAAAGGCTTCCCCTTCCATCTTGTTTCCCCTTTGCAATTTTATTTTTAAAGAAACTGGGTCATTTGTTCTAGCGCGTTTCTTTCCCACAGTCTGGATTTTTATGCTGACAGTCCCCCATGATATCATTTAACACGCTCCTTTGCCCTGGATTTTCCATAAACTGGTAATTAGATATAAAGCCTAGATAAGATGCAGTTTTTATTTTATTTTTTCTGAAAGACTATTCATAGTTGATTGGCCTCCTTTTTAAGCTGAATTATATAAGGTGAATACCTTTCAAAGGTGCTTTGTAATTCACTTAACTAATTTCCTATTGTTAGGCATTTAGGTTGTCCCCAATTTTTTAATATTATAAATAATATTGTAAAAAATATGCGTACAGCTAGAAAGACATACACCAACGCTAACAGTCATCTCTGAGTGGCGGGATTAAAAGATAACTATTTTTTTCTTTCTACAAATGAGCATTTATTATTTGTCTAACTTTTTTTTCTAAAAACTTTAAACACTGAAATGACTCTCTCCTTGAACCTTTACATAGATCTTTAATCTCTTTCTCGATATAAATTTCTAGATGAGGAAATACTGGATTAAAATACATGCTCATTTTAAAGGCTTTGATTTTATTGGTAAATTTCCCTCAAGAAAGGCCTATCACGCATGAAAGAAAGTACTAGGAATGGGGGTCACTTAAGAGATGATTTCCTAAATTTCATGCAGATAGTTTCATTAAATTTATCCAACAAATGGGAATGTAAACTGGTGCAGCCACTATCGAAAACAGTATGGAGCTTCCTCAAAAAATTAAAAATAAAAATACCATATGATCCAGCAATTCCATTTCTGGGTATATAAATGAAGAAAATAAAAACACTAACTCAAAAAAATATACGAACCCTCATGCATATGCAATATGCACTGTGGCATTATTTACAATAGCCAAGACATGGAAGCAACCTAAGTGTCCATCGATGGATGAATGGATAAAGAAAATGTAGCATATATATACACAATGGAATACTATTCAGCCATAAAAAAGAAGGAAGTCTTGCCACTTGCGACAATATGGACAGACCCTGAGGGCACTGTCCTAAGTGAAATAAGTCAGACAATGAAAGACAAATGAGTACGATCTCACTTACATGTGGAATCTAAAAAAAATCAAAAAAACAAAAAATCGAACTCATAGATATAGAGAACGATTGGTGGTTGCCAGAGGTGGGAGCTGGGGGTGGGTGGGTGGGAGAAATGGGTGAAGGGGGTCAAAATGTACAAACTTCCAGTTATAAAATAAGTAAGTCATGGGGGTATAATATATAGCATGGTGGTTATAGTTAATAATATTGTACTGTATATTTGAAAGCTGCTAACAGAGTAAATTAAAGTTCTCATCACACAAAAAAACAGATTGTAAGTATGTGTGATGGATGTTAACTAGACTTATTATGGTAATCATTTCACAATATATACAAATATTGAATAATTATGCTAAACACTTGAAATTAATATATGTCAATTATATCTCAAGAAAAAAAATTTACCCAACAAATATTTACTGAGCATAGATGTATATCAGTCAATATTCTAGGCACCAGAAATATAGCAACCAATGAGACAAATGTGATCCCTGCCTTCAGATGTTTCATTGAAATTTGAGAAAGCTCTTCTTTCAAAACTCTGCCAAACTTTCATTTGGAATAATGGTGTAATATTTCAAAAATATTAGTTTAGAATTCTATACAAATTTATAAGCTCTTAATAGAGCTCTTTTAACAAGTTTTCTCATTAAAAAATGTTTCTATAATGAATTTAGAATAAAATTATGTGAGATTCCTTAATTACTCGTTTCCCCTCGAAGTACAGTATTTTCTTACATCCTGTTATACCCAAGCTCTTGTAACTTTTTCAAAAGCAAATTGTAGCCACTTTTGTCCATGATTATCACTAGTTGGACTTGCTTATTTCTTTCCAATATCCTCATATGTTCAGAACAGTGAATAAGCACAGAAAAATGCAAGCAACTATTTCCAAAGAGATCAAAGTACAAGAAGAAAAAGGGTGCTAATGGATGAAGAACAGATACTTGAAATTTTTCTTGAAAAGTACCTAATGAAAATTTTAGAGGCTGAAATCCAACCGACACAAAGATCAGATGTGACAACAGCAGTACAAGTGTATTACTTATGTGATACCTTTCTTCTAAGGTTCAGTTCATTCCTTAAACCAGCTAAAAGGATATCCACTTATGCTGGTACTCCCATTAGTAACTTTTTAAGAACAGCTGCCTAATTTAAAAGCAATAGAATACATGTTAAACATTGTGCTTAAGAATCGTGATGCTTTAATTATTGACTGTAATTTCAAGTCCACTTCTGTAAAGCTTAGTATTTCACTATACATAGTCTCCAATAAATTGGCAATACAACGATGATGACGACAGCAGCTACCATTCATTCATTGAGCATTCACAAATCCAGAGCATGTGTTGTGCTGCAAATGCAATATCTTACTCATCAACAACATTTTAAGGTGAGAATTATCTCCATTCACTATTGAAGATGAGAAAACAAAGGTTTAGAGAGACTGTACAACTTGTCTAAGACCAGCCAGCCAGCCTCCAGAGGATTTGAGATTCTAACCCAAACAGTCTCACTTGAGTCCCCCATCCCCATCCCACCTTTACTACTCAGACTTGCTAGGCTCTTCTTAGTCTGTAAAGTTGTCTCTGTGGAACCTGAAACACATTTTTCTACCAGATAAGAAAGTGAATGGCTGGATTCTCAGTCTTATCTAAAACCCTATTAAACCCATAATATTCCTGAAAAATACATAGTGTTACAAAACCTATGATGCATAACCCTCATAACTATGTTTTATTGAAAAAAAATAAATGCGAATGGCAAGCGTGAATGCCATGATCACATCTTTCCCTGTTACAACTTCAGCAAGAAAGGGGCCTCTGTGAACCGTAAGCCACTACTGGTAAGACCTAGACAGGCATAGAGAGAGGTGAGGGATTTGGACTGAAGAGTCTGGTAGAGAAGCAGTGAGAGAAGTGGAGAGGAAGATGAAAGAGCTTAGAAACTATGGGAAGGAAAGGAATGGAACTGGCAGTTTGGAGTAGGGCAGCAGTTTTCTCTACCTTTTCCTTAGGCCTTCATCTGACCACTGTGTAACGCTGTAGTGGGGCCAGGGAGAGGAAGAGAGAGAAGAAGGGGAGAAATGCAAAGCTGAAGTTTTCCCTTCCTTTATTTACTCTCTATCTTGCTATCTCCCTCCCTCCAGTCAGGAACCAGCACTGCAAACCCTACAGCTAAACAGCATTGTTTGAAGAAAGAATGGAGGCTGGTGGAAGAGGACAAAATTGTAAGGTCTACAGTACTGAAAACGGACACTTCTTAGCAGAGTATGAAGGAAAGGGAAACAGTCATAGCAAGATCCAACTTGGTGCCAATAGCAGGTAAGTCTGATGACTGAGATTGTCTGTACTGGCCTTTAGCCATCTCATTAATGATACCCTCAATACCTCTATTAAGATTTGTAAGAATATTGTAATCACTTTTTCCACTTCTTTTTGTTTTATTCTATACACTTTTCAAAATGTGGTTTGTTTGGATTTGTAATTTTATTCCTTAATATCTGGTAACATTCTTTTACCTTCTTATACTACTGCGTTTGATTGATTTTTCTTTCTTTATTCATTTTCTAACATTTCCACTGGCCTACTCAATTGCTATGAGCTTTGACAAATGAATAGTAACTATGCAACTCTAGGCTGGCAATATGAAAATAATTACATTTAGCAGCATATTCTCAAAGTTCACAAATTCCATAAACTAGAAATAATGCTGGCCCCAAATTACCATTTATATTTATCTCCTATTCATGAACTATCTCTCTGAAAGTATTTAAAAAAGTATAAAGATAAAAATATGAATGATACTTACCCCACTAGGCCTATATCAGCTATAAGTTTTAGATCAAGGTGAATAACTCGTTTCTGGCCTTTCAATGGTAAGAAATTTGTAAGTAATTTACCACCAAGACCTCCTTCAGCTACCAAAATTCTGTCTTTCTCGTTATTGAGTTCTCCTTAGAAAAAGAGATAAAGATACTTAGAGCAAAAATTAGTAAGTGGAGCTAATCACTAATGACATTTTTCTTTCATAAACAGATGCCAGGAAATTCCAATTTAAAAATCTAAAGGGCTAAACAATAGGATTAAGTTTCTATTAAAATTTTGGCCCTGGAAAAACATTTTTGTAAGCAGTTGAAGAGACCAATTACATGTTTTAAAAGCAAGTAAATACTCATATCTTCAAAATAATATTAAATCTAGCAGTTAATTTTGAACAACTTTTAAGTTTTAAAAAGCTCTTTTATAAATCAGCAGCTGAAATAATGTTTAAAAAAAATTCTGAACCTCAAGAGGTATTGAGCTATTTCCCACAGCTCCCAAACAATTTTAGAAAATGTGCACATTTTTCAAAACCTAGGAATCTACGTACACTTACCTATGATTTTACCATTTTCATCAGTTACTGAAATACCCACAGGTACAGGAATTTCACAGTCCTTTCCTTTGGAGCCTTTCAGTGCACTAACTCTACAAGAAAAAAAAAAAAAACCTAAGTTAAAATAAGGAAAACCCACTAAATTAAATGGTTTATGCTTCAAGCAAATATAATAGTTTACCAAGAAGACTAGCAACCAACTCTTCTAATGCAGATGTTAAATGGCCAAATATTAGAGGAAAAAAATAAAATTATCCCTAATTATTTATTTGCATTTTAGACTACCATATCCCAACAAAAATAATATTAAGTAATGATTTAAGTTACCAAGCTAGCCACCAAAAGTCATTTCAACTCATAATGAACTAAGATATTGTACACCTGAAATGAAGAGATCATTGCTGCAACACAAATAAACTAGAAAAAAAGGAAAATCCATTGAATAACAAAGCTCTTAAAAAACTGACCTCAGGGGCCGGCCCCGTGGCTTAGCGGTTAAGTGCAGGCGCTCCATTACTGGCGGCCCGGGTTCGGATCCCGGGCGCGCACTGACACACTGCTTCTCCGGCCACGCTGAGGCCGTGTCCCACATACAGCAACTAGAAAGATGTGCAGCTATGACCTACAACTATCTACTGGGGCTTTGGGGGGAAAATAAATAAACAAATAAAAAAAAATTAAAAAAAAAAAAAAACTGACCTCAAAGGAAAGTACTTTAATTATATGAGGCTCATCTGGCTACTCTCAAACTGCTCATGAGAGAATAAATTGATATAAACTTTTAACTAGTAATTCCACTTCTGGGAATTTATCCTAAAAAAAAAAAAATTGACCAACCATGTAATCTACTATACACACAAGGATGTGTGTTGCATTGTGACCTCAACAGTAAAAAAAAAAAAAAAAATCAATAATTATCTAAATAGATGAATGACAAAATAACTTATGTTATTTCCAACATTACAAAACTATGCAGCCATTCTGAACAATTTTCTGGCATGGAAAAAAAAGTTAAGTGAAAAGAGGAGGTTGCAAAATATGGTGCTCTCGTTTTTGTATCCCCAAATTTTATATACATACACATAGTTACATTTGCATTAACATACAGAAAAGTCTTAGAAAAGTCAAGAAAAGGTTAATAGCGGTTATCTCCAAGTAGAATTATAGGTGGTTGACCTTTTCTTTAATCCTTTTATTCCTCTTCTCCCTGATTAGGTTAAAATTCCCATACCCACCCACACGTCAGATCTCATTCATAAGATTTTTCACAGTTATAATTTTCCATTTTTCACATATTTGATTAATGTCTGCTCTCCTGCTAGACAACTGTAAGTTCCACGAAGGCAGGGAATATATCAGTTTAGATCATCATTTTATCTCAGACATCTTGTACAGTGATTGGCATATAGTAGATACCCAATTAACATTAGTTGAATGAATGAACTGGATTGACAGAAATGGATGAACTCAAAATATATTAAAGAAAATTTAGATAAAACACTTCTCTTACTGGGATTGTGTGTTGCAATTTTTAGAATGTAGAGGTAAGACTTAATTTCATTCTTATTTGTTATTGCTAGTGAACTTTCTATTAAAATATTATTTTATTAAAAATTTATCACAAATTTCAAAAGAACTTTGAAAACAGCTTTTTAAATAATTGAAATGGTATCTGATAATTTTCATAGTTAACTAAGCATAAACCAATTTACTGGGAGATGATATCATGATGAACAAAAGCAGTCTAATTTTTAGCAGACATTATTAAATTACCTGAAATTAAAATTTTACTCAGTTACCTATATTTTGGAAGTGGTGCTTGAACCAAGTCTTGAAAGGGGAATAGGACTTTGCCAGACAATCAAGGCAGGAAAGGATGTGTTGGCAAAGTGAATATATATACACACATACATGCACTGGATTAGGAAGAAACAAGCTGTGTGGTGAAATAATAAACAGTTATTTCTAGCATAATCCTGGTACAAGTGGGGTGGTGTGCTGTGAGATAAAGACACTGCAGTCCAGATCACGAAGAGCCTGATACGCTATATTAAAGAGTTTGAATATTATCTTAGAGTGATGAGGAACATTTAAGGATTTTAAATAGGCAAGTGACATTAATAAACTGGTGTTTTAGAAAAATCACTCTAGGGATAATTGGATAAAGAATGGATTGGAGGCAATGACTGAGACTGGAGACAGGAGACCAATTTGGAGAACACTGCAATATTTCAGAAACAATGAAGGTCTGAATGAAACCCTAGCCTGTACCTATCTTTCTAGTCTCACGTTCCTCTACATTCTATGTTTTCTGCATTCCAGCCACACTGGCCTTCTTTTAGTGTCTTATATACTGGTATTTGTCTTCTATCACTGGGCCTTCATTGTTCATGTCGTTATCTTTCCTATAATGCTTTTTCCTCCCCTTCACCCAGCTCGCTTCTTTTAATCCTTTACATTTAAGTCTCTACATTCTAAAAATTGCAACACACAATCCCAGTGAGAGAAATGTTCTATTTAAATCTTTCTTAACATTTAAACATTATATAGCATCTTTAGTATACCACTGATCTGAACACAGAATAAAGTTAGAATTAGAGCAACCTGACTTTTCAAAAGAAATTATAAAATGGTAATTCTAACAAATATAGGGCTCTCAAACTTTGCCCTATAAAACAGTTCCAGTTAGACTATTCATAAAACAAAAATGCTCAAAAGAAATTTAAGGGGTTTCTCCAAGGATTCCTTTACCAGCAGGGGATGCTACTGGATATTTTGGGCAGGATAATTTGTTGTTGTTGGGAGTATTCCTCACTCTGCATTACAGAGTGTTTAGCATCCCAGCCCCTATCCTTTGCTCACACCCATCCCCTAAGTAAGTGCCACATTCCACCCTCTTGTATTGTGACAAATAAATATACCTAGACACCTTCTTGGGAAGGGGAAAGAAAAAAGGGACATAATGTCTAAACTTTATACCAACACCTCCTAAGAAATAACAGTAGAATGAGAGAGGCCTGAGGAATTATAGCCTGCATTTTGATGGAAGCTTTAAGAATTTTTTCATTTTCTTTATAAAGAAAGAAAAAATTCATCTCATCTTTTGAGGCCAACATAATATGTTCCACAGAAAACAACAAACATTAACATAAAATAAAGGGAAGGTTTTTCCGTCATAGAGAGAAGACCGAAACAGAAACAAAAGGAAAACATACAAGAGATGTACCCGTGAAACAGGCTCTAAATTTTAAGCACTGCCTATGAGACGCTGGCAAAACTATTGGTGGTGGTGGGGTGGAGTAGCACAGTTGAGATTTGAGAAAGGATTACTAAAGATTGTCAAAGATAATTTAAGAAGAAAACAGTGGGGATTCAGACCATTTTCTGTTTCTACAGAGGAAGTGCAAAAGAATATAAAACAGACATTGGGAGAAGAAAAGGATACAACATTTAAATGCTCCAAAACATTCCTTAGTACCTTTTATCTTTACTAGAATTGAGACAAATATTGTCAACTTTTGCTCAGTTACAAATACAAGGATATAATTTCCTTCAAATTACTAATTAAATATTTAGCTCAATTTTTTTTTCCTTCCAGGAGGGGTTAATTTTATAAAATCAGTCATTCAGTAAATACTTACCGACTATTTGCTCCTTCTCCAGCAACGAACCGTTTCTGAGGATATTTGTCTTTAAGTTGTTTTAAAGTCATTCTGTTACGGGCTACAACCCAAACGTCACCACCTTTTCCACCTTCTCCACCTAAACGAGGGTAACCCATTCCACCACTTCCTCCTTTGGTGAAGAGTCTGAGGTTATCGATGAAGTTTCCATACTTGGAGAAAGAGAGAAAGAGAACATTTGTATACCAAATGTACTTAGCAACTTAGAACTCCTTTCTAGTACTTTGTTGCCACTAAAACTCCTAAAATAAAAAAATCAATAATGGCTTTCTATATGCCAAATCCATAGTCTTTTCTCAGCTCACCTCCTGCCTGACCTCCCTTTCCCATTTGATTAACTCTCTTAAGATCCTTCAATTACCCACTGTTGTCCCACCTACCCTCAAGGTCTCTGACATTAGCCCACTTTTCAGTCTAAACCTTCTCCCCTGGGTGATCCCACCCTGTACCAGTAACTATCACGTAGGTGAGATATTCTCTATGTCCAGTCTGTTGAACATCTCCACCAGGATGTAAGCTTAATAGTCTAAAGCAACTGAGAGCAAGATCTCTATTTAATTTATACCTGAAATTTCTCAAATATGTAATTTGTTCTTAGGTATTAGTTAAAAGGATAAGTCCCCTCAAATACAACATGTTAACACGACAAAACCAAACTTTTCCCCAGGTAAATTCTGTTACTCCGATGTTCTCTCAAATAACGGAACCACAGTTTATCTACTCATTGAGACTGTATGGGAATCTTTGACTATACCTGCTTCTTTTCCCAAAGCCCTACTGACTGTATATCTCTCCTTTCTGGTACAACTGCCCTAGTATCTTGACCATAACATTAGCTCCTAACTGGTCTTTCAGTGTCTAGTCATTCCCTCCTCAACACATCCTTCATCTCGCGGTCTATTTTTCTGAAATATTTTCAGAGCTATTTTTCTGAAAATGGATCTGATCTCTAATCATGTTTCTCCCTACTCAAAAAATATTCATTGTTTTTTGCTTTTTATGAAATAAAGTCTAAGTTTCTCAGTACTATATTCAAAGCTCTTAACCTACCCTTCGTTTCATTTTCATTCATTCAATCCCTCCCATCTCCCCTTCCTGTTTTTACTACATGATAGACTGTCATGTCTCCATGCCACTCAGCTTGTGCTTTTCCTCTACTCACAATGTCATTTGTTCTATTCTGTCACAAACCCACCTGAATGTCACATTTTCTGATGTCTTAATTTCTCTAATCAACACTTACCACTATCTTTGCTGGGCTCTCAAAGCAACTGTATTATACCTCCACTATTACACTTTTGGAATCTTATACTGCATTTAGTGTTTACTTCTGTTTCCCTCACTAAATCAAGAACTTCTTGCAGGTAAAGATCCTATGTATTAACCTCCCAGACTATCAAAATTCCTTACAGACTAATTTCTTAAATTCATAATCTTCTCATCTTTAGTCATTTAAGATAGTTCTAAGTATCAAAAACATCTGGGAACTTTTTTCAAAATACATATAGTCCACTGACCATTCTGATACGCTCTAGAGGAGGGGATGAGGGTTGGTTTTGAACCAGCATATTTAGTCCAAGTTCCCCTACTGATTCTGACACAGTCTAGATCTGAGATTGTGGTGGATGGGAGCACAGCGAAGATTCAAAGTGTAGGTTTTCAGTTGAGTATGCAAATATAGCCACGAAATAGAATGTTGTAAGGGAAAAGATGAACTTGAGGACTAGCCAGAGTATTTTTCTCTGAGGGTGAAGAACTTATGCTTTGAACCTGCGAGGCTAGATCAGAAACGCATCACATACAAGTGAGCTGATTCCTCCCGCAAAATGACATCAATAGGAAGTAACTGTTCTTGGCAATAAGGCTACACAAGCAGCCCTTAATAACCTACCGACAAAAAAATGTAGTAGTTTCTTTTTTAGTTGAAGAATTAGTTATCTCATACAAGTACAACCCTTCACGAGTCTCTTTTGACTAGCTATTTTCTGGAAAATAGAAGGTTAGATAAAGTACAATTTCACTTGGAAATACTACTGACCGCGCCTCTTCCTCCAAGAAGAAGAAAACTCCTGTTTTTAAAGTTCTGTTCAAAGTTTGACACATTTTTTACCGCTCTACATTCGTCAGATTCAGAGGTTTAGAAACCAAACTTAAAAGGAATATCTCACTCTCCTCGTCTGCAATAAGGTAATGGCCAAACTATGATGTCGGCAGGTTTCAAAGAAACGTTACTAGTAAGGCTCTTAAAGAGGTTTTTAAATTTGAAGCAACTGTAAATTTTCACAGAAACGATTCTAAAACCAGCACTGCACAAAAAGTGGCCTAAATTTCTTGCAACAAGGCAAGCCAATTACATATTTTCGTTTACTGATGAAAAGTCGTCTTTAGAAAGCTCTTAAACAGGCTATCGATATTACTTAAAAGAAGAAGAAAAAAAAACTATTTGAGCCAAAAGACAAAGTCAACCCTGCAGTCCACATATGCCATATTGTGTATCTAAATGGCAGGCAGGTCCCCAGGTCCTCATCCCAAGTCACACAATTCCCCTGAAGAACCTCAAACCCTGCCCTCCCCAAACTGTCCTCACCGCGCCAGAGAGACACACGCTTCTCACCCCTCCCCGGCCGAGCCTGACTCCCGAAGGGTTGGAGTGGAGAGGACTATAGTAGAACCAAGGAGGAAAGAGGCCCCAGAAAGAAAAAGAGGAGGAAGGGAAGCGAAGCAGAAGCAGAGCCTCAGATGGGGCTAGAAGCACCAGACTCCCGGGCTCAGGCTGAGGGGCACCAGTCACGGACCTTTCTGAACAACACACAACTGCAGTGCACCATGATTGCGACGGGCCGGCATCCACTCCCGCGCAAGGTGTAGGGACTGAAGAGCCGCGCTGCACTTCCACGTCACCGCGGGTCGCGCTCGCTCTTTTCCCTCTGCACGCTCCAGTGGAGACAGCCGCATGCGCCGTATGGTGCACGCCCACGGGGACAGGCGCAGGCGCTGTGCGGCGCGCCCTACGCGGAGGTGGAGCAAGGTGGTCACTGTTGAGGGGCACAGCTGCGTAAAACACTGAGAAAATGTTGAGAGGCGCTGTGGCAGGGGACAGTCGGGTGCAGAGTGGGTACATCAGGAAATAACATTTTGAATAGGATGGCACTGGCGACTGACCTGCCTTGTAGGAATTTTTAACGCTAATTGAGGAGTAAAAAAAAAAAAACCTCCAACAGACAATAAAACCAAAGGCGCAAAAAACACGGAAATTCAACTGGGAAAGAAGACCCCAAAAAGCTGTTCATTCATGGACAGTTGACTAGTCTCTAGTAAAAGCTCCCAGGAGCCAATGAATTTAAAACTTGTGACACAAATGTCAGGACCTGAGGTCTGTAAGACGCTCGTTTTGTTCGGTGGGGAAGGAAAATTGTCTTCAACTGTTTGTCAGCGAGTAGCTTCTTGGAGTCGGGTAGGCAAGAGTCTATGCACCTCTCGTTGAGACGCGCCTTTGTGAGGATGAGAAAGAGATTACCTTTCCTCAGCCTGGGCAGGACCAGCAGAGGGTGGCTGGATCTCAGCCCGCCCCACTCCCCTTCTCAGGCCCTCATGCAGTGAAAAAATGCCCGCAGCCCTACTAGGCGGCCCTGCACTACACTGCCAGTCTTAGATTCTTTCTTAACCACTAAGACTGTTAGTTTCTAGAATCCCTTTCACATTTCTACCCCTCGCTTAATGACAATGATTATTTGGAAATAACAAGATGTGAAAACTGTCCCTCTTTGTCTTGATTCCTTTGCTGCTACTGAACCTCTCTCTTCCCCACCAATCGATAAAGCTGTAATTGTCATTTAACTTGTGATGATTAGGTTGTTACTGTGTAGATATTTAGTTTAACCTTAATAATATTTGCTGCCATTTGGATTACTGTCTTTACTAGATCTTTCTATTATGTCAGAATGATGTTGAGACCCATCTATTTATTTATTTTCTAAGGTTTATTTTCTATTAGTGAACACAAGCCCAAACTGTTTTCTTTCGCGTGCTATATACATGGGAAAATGATAGCAAATAAAAAATAAATGAAAAATTGATATAAAAACATCCCAAAATACTGAGGCACATTATGTACTATAAACAAAGGAGAATATACTTTTCCTTGAACAAAATGTGGTCAGAGCCTAAGGTATTGATTACAGCTCTGGTTACCAGATAGTAAAAGAAACATGAAACTGGAAATTGTCCCCTTTAAAATGTGCAGCTGTTACCTGGCCCACAGACCCCCTTAATAAGACATTAGCCACAACCCTGCTCAGAACAAGCCTAACATGTTATCTTCAGTTTATGGGAAACCACAGCGAGAAGAAGGAGCAGAGAGCTGAGACATGCAGTTGAGACCAGCCTAAACCAGTTGAAGGCAACATGGTGGTCCACTTGGACCTGACATAGTCCCCTCAACTAGATATGCTCACTGTAAGCCTAACCCTGCTGTCTCCCAAGCCTATTCCAGTGTTAAGAGTCTACCTTGTCCTAACCTGTGTGAGTACAACCACTTACTACTCCTTGGCCGAAAAGGGTTTAGGTCATCACGTAGCCCTGGACTACCTCCTAGCTAAAGAAGGGGGAATTTGTGACCTAACGAATACCTCCTGCTGCTTCTACATTAACAACTCTAGATATCTCAATCTGAGCTTAGAAAGGGTGAGGTTGGCAACTAATGATTTGGAGGACCTAACCCAACGTAAATGGACAGAACAGATCTGGGAAGGAGTTCTGAAGCTCCTCCCTGGAGTGGCTTGGTTTCTTGCACTCCTTGGCCCTCTTGTAGCTGTTTTCCTCCTCCTGCTATTCGGTTCCTGCATCTCAATCTAATAACCTCTTCCATCAGCAAACAGCCAGAGGCTATTAAACCACAAAAGGTTATATTGCAAGGGTGTGAACAACTGGGCCTAAAGCCTGGTGACAACCAGACATGCTTATGACTAGTTAGGGTAAGGTTCTGGGAACCTATATATACTGCTCTTCTCCTGGGCCCCCAAGACGATGCTTGCTTTCAGCAGGAAGCATTTACGGAAATCTGACCTCTGTCCCTCAGTGCCCCTTAAGAATGAGGAGCAGTACCTAGGAAAGGGGGGATTTGTTACCTGGCCCACCGACCCCATAAGACATTAACCACAACCCTGCTCAGAATAAGCCTAATATGTTATCTGCAGTTTACAGGAAACCACAGTGAGACGAAGGAGCAAATGGCTGAGACATGTGGTCAAGATCAGCCTAAACTGGTTGAAGGTAACATGGTGGTCCAATTTGACCTGACATAGACCCCGAAGCTCATTATACACTCATTGTAATATATTACCATTTTATTGAACACACCCACCGATTTACAACTGCCATGGCAATGGTAGGATAACCAAATAAGAAAAGAGAAGAGGTGGCACCCTTGTTTTCCAGAAAAGCCTGCCCATTTCCCCAAATATTCCTCCCCTTCATTACCTAGACTCCTTATAACAACTGCTTGATTGCCCCAAGAGCTGAGAAGTTGATTTGTGAACTTAGTTCCCACTTCTCCATTCTTTGGCCATTGAATAAAGCTTGTGCTGTTGAACGCTCAGCTTTGGTTTCAATTCAAATCTGTGACACCAAACAGGAAAGAACACTCCGAGGAAGGGATGGATTGTGGGTATGAAGCCCACCTGTGGGCCCCTCCTCAGAGCTCCTCCAAGTGTGGGTCAGAGTCTCACCAGAGTGAGGTGAAATTGGTAACACAGCTAAAATGAACATGAGGTGAAATGACCCAAGGTATTATCCAGACCTGATGTAGAAGTCTTTATTGGAAGAAAATATCACTACTTCTGCCACTGAGAGGACAGAATGTCTTACCCATGGCTGCTCAGAAGATTAAAGTATAGGCAAAGCATTAAGTTCAGAGGCACTAGAGAATTTTGCATAATAGGCATGAAAGTCCCAAATGAGCCATTGGCATAACTCACAATTTGATTTCAAAAAAATTTTAATATAAACTAGAATTATTCTAATCAAAAAAAATTTTAATAAGCATTTTATTTTGGGATAAATTTAAATTTATAGAAAAGTTACAAAGAGAGCCCAAAGAGTTCCCATATACCCTTTACTCAGCTTGCTCTAATGTTAACGTTTTATGTAACCATTTGTCAGACTATGAGATTAATGTTGGTGTAATGCTATTAACTACACTGCAGACTTTATTTGATCTCACTAGTCTTTCAACTACAACCTTTTTCTGTTCCAGGATCCAATCCTGGACACCATATTACATTTAATCTAATAAACATTTTAGTGTAGCTATTATTTTAAGCATAAAATGAACAAATATATAATTAACAAATCTAACATTTTATGATGTTGTACTGTTTAATTTTGTCAGCAGACTAAAATGAAAATTGTCTAACTTGGTTCTCTGCTTTGTAGATTATCTGAATTGATCTTTTATCTTCTCATCTTCTCTTAATTAGATTCCTACCTTTTGTCTATCATGCTTTTGGTTCTGCCGTCCAGGAGGAGTCAACATAACCGGGTTAGAGGGCCCGTATGTGAAACTGCAAAGGTAGAGCCTGTCATCAATTTCACACCACTCCCTCTGGTATTCACTAACTTCCTGGAAGTGCCACCTCCTTCTCCTTCACACCAAAAA